AAAGGTAAGATCGCAGATGTATTTTTTGAAATAAAGTAAATACACAGAAGATAAAACGTTCGTTTTTACGAACCTTGTTCAAAGGTAAAATCGCAGATGTATTTTTTGAAATAAAGTAAATACACAGAAGATAAAACGTTCGTTTTTACGAACCTTGTTCAAAGGTAAAATCGCAGATGTATTTTTTGAAATAAAGTAAATACACAGAAGATAAAAGGTTTAAAATGGAGAGTTGTGAGTATAAACGTAACATTGCAATAAAATAACAACAAAAATTATCGTTTATGAACAGGGTTTATTGTTTGCAGTTTATCTTGTTGCAAACGAGAGCGACCAACTCAATTGTTTTATTATTTATCAATCTAGGCATGGAGGAAGCCCGCCAGGCCGTAGCTACCTACACTTCGTGTTCTGGAGCAATTATTCAGGCCAAGGTAAGTAGACACGTTTGTATAGCTTAGCAAATATTTCCAGAATATAACTTATTAATACATGAACACAAGGTTTTCTCTTCCAAATTTTATGTTTTATTGTTGTTCTTTCTTATTAAGCTTGTTTGTTTTGAATTTCGCGCAAAGCTACACGAGAGCTATCTGCGCTGGCCGTCCCTAATTTAGCAGTGTAAGACTAGAGGGAAGGCAGCTAGTCATCACCACCCACTGCCAACTTTTGGGCTACTTTTTTACCAATGAATAGTGGGATTGACCGTCACATTATAACGCCCCCACGGCTGAAAGGGCGAGCATATTTGGTGGGACGGGGAACCTTATTAAGCACAAAGCTAAACAAAGAGCTATCTGTGATGTGCCTACCACGGGTATCGAAACCCAGTTTCTAGTAGATATGAGTCCGCAGACATACCGCTCTGCCACTGGGGGGTGGGGGCTTTCTCTTTTATCTAGTTAAATAAATTCAAGAAATGATAATGTGGAAGAGAAAAAACCTTGGTCTACTCTCAAACCATCACTCTCTTTATGAGCCTACATCAATATTCTTTTCTTAGTTGTAATGGTGGAAACTGAACACGAACTGTTCTTGATAAGAAAAAAAAATCCAACTAAGGTAACATCAAAGTTAGATTTTAATTAATAAGATTTTTACCTTATTACAGTGTTCTGTGTTTAGACATACAACGTGTTTTTATTCATTTTCCACAAGACAGTTCGTACGTTCTTTTGTATAAACACATATAAAACAAAACAAAAGCGTATTACACACAAAAAGTTTAACTGAGAAGTTAACATGAAGCTAATTGTTTGACTGATATGTTAAAGCTTTAACTACTTGTGACTTTACATTTTAAAATAACATGAATGAACTTTCAACTTTTTCATCACACACACACACACACCTACATGCATCTGTTTTACAAACAATATTAATAGGCATTATTGGTGTTATTATCCAATATAATTTTGATTGGTGATACATATCCTCAAGTTTCATGAATTTCTCTGTATTTCAAGTTCTAAACGTTTCGCTAACTGAATAGACGGAAAACTGCCTGCTTAAAACGTATTAACTGTTTCTTTAAGGGCGTAGTTTTATTAATAAAACATCACGTTCAGTATCCAAAACTATACATATAAAGTGAAACTACCTAATATTTCAAAATTCATAAAAGATTATTAACGATAATTATTCTAGTTTTAAAAAGATGAATAGCATCGAAACCATAAATTAATAATTGTAGACTTATCAAAATAACATAAACATACTACCTAATATTTCAAAATTCATAAAAGATTATTAACGATAATTATTCTAGTTTTAAAAAGATGAATAGCATCGAAACCATAAATTAATAATTGTAGACTTATCAAAATAACATAAACATCGAAGCGTTGTGTTTGATTTTCAATGTTGTATGTATTTTCTTGCATTGAAAAGAAAATACTGGTAGCGTGCAAAAATTATAAAAATGGACTTACTTTATACTGTATTTCAGCTAACTTCGAAAAATCAAGAATATGGAAAAAAGAAACTAAAATACTTTTAGCTCACTTTTAATAATTATATTTTGAATTGTATCAATTGATTATTTTCAAGTTGCAGTTACTTTTTAAGCCTACTTGTGTCACTCTGTCATGAAAAATACGTCTGTATTTTAATGGATGAGTTTTTTCGAATAATAATCATTATTTTGTAATTCCATTTTATTCTTCTTCGTGTTTCCTTTTCTTTCATACATGTGCAGCATTGTTCAGATGTTGTGCTACTATTTGTTATGTTGGGATGTTCTTATATATATATTATATTTTGAAAATTAGTGCCTGATTAAATAATTTTGAGGCCCCGTGTGCTATGCAAAATTTGCCTTTTCTTCCTTAGACTAGGCGAATCATATGATATATACAGCCTGTAAATACCAGGGCATATTCTTGTTTCATTATTATTATTAATAATAAAGTACTTAAATCTTTCTCAGCAGAAAACACAGAAGAATTTGATCTTACTCTTATAATTAATTACAACAGTCTTTGAACTAAGAGGTAAGCTGAAAAAAAAATTAATGACGTCTATGTGTATTGTTAATTTAAGCCGACTGCGACTGTCCTATATACCTACTTCTGGAATCTCTTTGAGATATATATATATATATATACATATTTTTCTTCCTCTGAATGTCGGGCCTAACCCTGAACTGAGGGCCTTGTGCAACAGTTGTTTTTAAGTTCCTATCGCAATTAGACTTATAACACTTGAATAAAATTCTTCATGAAGACACAGGCCTCTTATTTACCTGCCATCTTTACTTATATATGTTTTTAATTATTATTTTTTGTGCATAGCTAACCATTATTAAAATCTAGAATATAAACACTTCAAAAATATAATCTGTAAACCAGATTCCGAAACAGCAACATATAACGTTTAAGAATTTTTTTTTGGGGGTGGGGAGGGGGCTCTTAAACAATAATTAGCATCATTCCTTAAACTTTAAAGTGACCTTCATCTTTTCTTTTTGTTACAGAAAGTTAAAAACAGGAAAGCAAACAACGAAGATATTTTATCCACCACCGTAACCAAAGCCAGTATTCTAACGAGGTCAAACTTGGGTTTTGGGGTTTAACTTACAATTATATATGTGTGTGTGTGTGTGAGAGAGAGAGAGAGAGTGACCCCTCCATAAAAACCGAGGATATGACCTATTATTATTATTATAACTCAAATCAAACCGATAAAAGCAAGTAACCAAATGATTTTTTGTACTGACACGTGACAAGGCTATTCGAGCGATTGATAAGGAGTTATAAAAGTATTGACAAATAACACAGGTATTGCGTTATGTAACATGAATGGGATATATGTACTTTATTCGTGTATGATAAGGGCCAAGATTATAAATCAAAACAGGTTATAAAACATTCCTTTTTTCTACAGGAATTCAATTTTTTTAATAATCAGTGTGTTTAGGTCATACTGTTCGAGTGTGAAATTAGCATGGAAAAAAATTTAGTTAAAAATTACATACTGTCAACTGTATACTTTATCAGTCTTTCTGTAAACCACTAAGAAAGTTTATATTATCGTATAT